TCTACCTACTACTACTACTACACTCCTAACTGACTACTACGACGACGACGACGACGACGACGACGACGACGACGTCTACTACTACTACTACTACTACTACTACTACTACTACTACTACTACTACTACTACGACTAAGACTGAGACTACCAACACTACGACCACTACCACTCCTACTACTACGACTACTACTACGACTACTACTACTACTACTACTACTACTACTACTACTGCTACTACTACTAAAACTCCTACTACTACTACTACTACTACTACTACTACTACTACTAGCCCCCACGACTTACTACTACTACTAACTACTACTACTACTACTACTACTACTAACTACTCACTACTCCCTACTCCTCCTACTACTACTACGACTACTACTACTACTACTACTACTACTACTAACTACTACTACTACTAACTACTATGACTACTACTACTACTACTATGACACTACTACTACTACAACTACTAATAATACTTCTACTACTACTACTACTACTACTACTACTACTACTACTACTACTACTACTACTACTAACTACTCACTACTAACTACAAACTACTAACTACGAACTACGAACTACTAACTACTAACTACTACTACTACTACTACTACTACTACTACTACTACTACTACTACTACTACTACTACTACTACTACTACTACTACTACTACTACTACTACTACTACTCCTACTCCTACTACTACTACTACTACTACTACTACTACTACTACTACGACTACCGCTACACACTACCCATTCGTAAAGCCGCTCATGTCTAAAACCGGTCGTTTCAAATCCCGCGTCGAATTACAAACGGAATAACGATGGGACAACAACGAACAATCACGATCATAAATATGTTTTATGTGGCCATTCACGCGATCATGGTTTAATATACATATATATAGGCGTATATATACACACACATATCTACACGAGTTTCATACAGTTATATATATATATATATAACCATATACAAAAAATATAGCTTAAACAAATACCAAAGAAAAACTACACGATCATAAGGGAAAACAGCGATACTGGAATTTCCGACACTGCAATAGGTGTTTCCGTACCCTTGGCATTGCCTTTGAAACATTATTAATTGTGTTTCACTAATGTAATGTGGTTGGGATTTGAGCATCGAATTTCGTCAACGGAATAACCAGCTACAAGTTTTTCCTAAAACGGCCATCCAACCTTAAAACGGGCAAATTTGGAGCCACGGGCAAAAATTGAAAACAACAGCTCGAAACGAAACCACAAAACATTACCCTGCGACGTACCCAACCCACGTGCATCAAATGGCAAGAGGAGCATGCCAACAATAGCAGGAACAACGACAGTGTAAACGCGGCGATTTGCTGTGCAAGCTACATGGGATGCGCATGCGTTGCACGATTCACAGGACGACGATCGAAAGAACGAGGCTTGAGGCCCCAGGATCGAAGAAGAACGGGCACGGGAACGAGGGGTAGGAGAGGGATGGAATGGAGGGCGGGGGGGGCGAAAGGCCATCGCGGAAGCAGCAGCATGCATGGAGAAGGTGAGGCGGGGAATAGGACGACGATGAAAGTGGCGGGAGGAGACAGAAGACTGCCGCGTTTTTCAAGTGCGAGCTAAACCCGCAGCGCTGCCTGCGCCATGTCGTCGCAGAGTTCCACATGATAAAACTTGTTTAGAGTGCAAGGAACGAGCGAGGCGTAGCTCGCCCGCTAGCTTCTCCGCCTCCTTCCCGCACATTTCAGCGCGGGAGCTGAACGCTCGCAGGCGCGCCGCCAGGTCTGCGGGCGGCCCGCGGGAAAGAAACTCAAGGCCGGGGTCGCGTATCATCAATCGGTTGTCCATCGTCCAAAGTTGCACTGGCGACGTACTGGTTGAACGCGGAGCGAGCAGCATCACGCGCGTGCCTGAACGCCACGCAGGTACAGTGCACGCGCGATTGGGACTTCAGGTCGATCACGCGCGTCTCCACCAGGCTTGGCAACACCACGCGACTGAGGATCTCACTGCGGTCTGCCATGCTGCTGTCCGCGAATGCAATGCGCTGCCTGCAAGTAAGGCGGCGGCGTCCACTTGTCTCAGAAGATGTTCCCGCGGGCCCGAAGGGCGACCGCCAGCTCGAGCCGCGGCGCCGGCAGGCCAGATAAGGATCATGCAACAGCAAAGACGATGACAGAGCAACGAGGTATCGGCGAGTGCATGACCGGCCTCCGTTTCCTGCACTTCTTTCCTGTAGTTCCCCTAGCTCATCGAGCTCAGCAGATGTTTCTGCGGGTCCGAAGGACGACCGCCAGCTCGAGTCGCAGCGCCGACGAGCTGCATCCACATCAGGCAACACCCCAGGAGACACTGGCACACAACGATTTGACGTCAGTCAGTGCCAGACCACTCCATGTCTAGTTCCTCGCACACATACAGTCGATCGCAGATGCGGGATAATCGAAGTAGAATGACGGGTCCAATCTGCGTCCGCGTAGGACGTCACTATGCTGGACCCCGCAGCAGGTCTCGAAAGTGGCGACAGTTTCATGGGCCCCACAGCAGCCCTCGAAAGTGGCGACAGTTTCACAGATCGTAGCCCCCCAGCGCTGGCGAGGTCTAATCTGAGTCCCCGTAGGACGTCACTCCGCTGGCCCCCCAGCAGCCTTCGAAAGTGGCGACAGTTTCACAGATCGCAGCCCCCCAGGGATGGCGAGGTCTAATCTGTATCCCCGTAGGGCGTCACTCCGCTGGGCCCCCCACGCAGCCTTCGAAAGTGGCGACAGTTTCACAGATCGCAGCCCCCCAGGGATGGCGAGGTCTAATCTGAATCCCCGTAGGGCGTCACTCCGCTGGGCCCCCCAGCAGCCCTCGAAAGTGGCGACAGTTTCACAGATCGCAGCCCCCCAGGAATGGCGAGGTCTAATCTGAATCCCCGTAGGGCGTCACTCCGCTGGGCCCCCCAGCAGCCCTCGAAAGTGGCGACAGTTTCACAGATCGCAGCCCCCCAGGGATGGCGAGGTCTAATCTGAGTCCCCGTAGGGCGTCACTCCGCTGGGCCCCCCAGCAGCCCTCGAAAGTGGCGACAGTTTCACAGATCGCAGCCCCCCAGGGATGGCGAGGTCTAATCTGAGTCCCGTAGGACGTCACTCCGCTGGGCCCCCCAGCAGCCTCGAAAGTGGCGACAGTTTCACAGATCGCAGCCCCCCAGGGATGGCGAGGTCTAATCTGAATCCCCGTAGGGCGTCACTCCGCTGGGCCCCCCAGCAGCCCTCGAAAGTGGCGACAGTTTCACAGATCGCAGCCCCCCAGGGATGGCGAGGTCTAATCTGAATCCCCGTAGGGCGTCACTCCGCTGGGCCCCCCAGCAGCCTCGAAAGTGGCGACAGTTTCACAGATCGCAGCCCCCCAGGGATGGCGAGGTCTAATCTGAATCCCCGTAGGGCGTCACTCCGCTGGCCACCCCAGCAGCCCTCGAAAGTGGCGACAGTTTCGCAGATCGCAGCCCCCCAGAGATGGCGAGGTCTAATCTAAGTCCCCGTGGGGCGTCACTCCGCTGGCCACCCCAGCAGCCCTCGAAAGTGGCGACAGTTTCACAGATCGCAGCCCCCCAGGGATGGCGAGGTCTAATCTGAGTCCCCGTAGGGCGTCACTCCGCTGGCCACCCCAGCAGCCCTCGAAAGCGGCGACAGTTTCGCAGATCGCAGCCCCCCAGGGATGGCGAGGTCTAATCTGAGTCCCCGTAGGGCGTCACTCCGCTGGCCACCCCAGCAGTCCTCGAAAGTGGCAACAGTTTCACAGATCGCAGCCCCCCAGGGATGGCGAGGTCTAATATGAGCCCCCGTAGGGCGTCACTCCGCTGGCCACCCCAGCAGCCCTCGAAAGTGACGACAGTCTCGCAGATCGCCGCCCCCCAGGGATGGCGAGGGGCAAGCAAGGTAAAAGGCAAGCGAGAAGAGGACGAGCAAAGAGAGGAGGAGAAGGGAAGCAAGAGAGGAGAGCAGGAACGAAGAGAGGAGGAGAGGAGGCGGGAGGAGGCGGGAGGAAGGTGGAGACCACAGTGCTCTATTCCAAACGAGTACCCAACGCAGGAGGGTTGGGAAAAACAACGCGATCGAAGCCGACCAACATGCATTCACATGGCTCATTTCGGATCTCGAATAGTATAAACCGGAAGCCAACAATGAAAATGTTCATTAATGTATCATGTTATCCTCCGCGGCTCTGCTACAGAATATTGCTAGTTTTTCAAATGGTTCACCTCGCCCCTGCGTCTCTAGCGCTGCCAAAAGAAGGGCCCGTTCGTTTCTGCATCGCTGCTTCCTCGCGCGCGGCTAAATCTGGGATCCCAAACAGCATGAACCAAATGTCGACCAAACAAATGCGCATCATGGCCCTAATTTCTCTCTCGCGTTTTGCCGCGGCACATCGCTGGCATTTCTCGCCCCCGCGTTTCCGGCGCCCCCAGGAGAAGTCCCCGCTCGTTTCTGCACTGCTGCCCCCCTGCGGCTCGCCCCGCAGATCCGCCCCGCTCTCGAGAGCAGGAAATTACGTGAGCTGGCGATATAATCATTTTAAAAAGTAATGCATAACAAACTACTTCCTCTGGCGCAAGTGAGTTTTCTGAACTCTGATCAAAATCTCACAACCGAGGCCACCGTAGGGCCACAACTTTCATTCTTAAACGATAGGTTCTAGTCATAGCTTCTTCAGGGCCCTCCGCAACCACAGCCAATCTCTACGGCTGCAAGTCCGAAGAGCCCCGGCGCGACTCCTTCCCAGCGCTCCTCTGCGTTCCTTCCCCGAAGGAGATCGCGCTGGAGGTCTTTCGCAGTCGTCGTCGTCGTCGTCGTCGACGTGGAACTCCCCGATGTGAATATTCCGCGCTTTCGTTGCGCCCACTGCGTCGGCGCGCAATGCTGTCGAGTACCCCGCTGGCCCAGCGACGCGGACGAGAGGGTCTGCGAGCGGGCGGGCCCACGTGCTCGGACAGAAAAGATAACTCGCGGGTTGCGTCGGAGCCGTCCGCGCGGCGTGCAAGCACAGAGACGTAGCGGGGAGGCAGAGGCCCCTCTCCCACCACTGCGCAGGCCACCTCGGCCGCGGACGGGGCGCCGCAGCGTCGCGGGTCTTTCTCCACCCCCCCCCGCGAAACGGAGGACGTGCTCGGGGGCGGATGCACCATGAGCGGCCCCGGCAATTTCGACGACGTCGTTCACGCGTCGGAAGTGCGACGGGCACGGGTTCGCGGACGCGCGCACAAGCATTCTGAGCAGGAGGTCGAGGACATTTCGTTGTAGGTCGGGGAACGACTCAGCTCTGGCAGTCGTTGCCTCTGTTGGGTCGTAGATGTACAGTTGCGCGCGCTTCGGACTGCGGCTCGACTCTGGGTAGAGTGCGCCTACGGATCTGAACGCGCGCCCGTGGAGCACGAACACCGGCGGACCCCTGCCGGAAGAGAGGTCGGGGGGGGGCTTCCGTCCGACGGCAGTGCTCTCGCTGTTGAATGACGGTCTCTCCGCATGCGCGGGGAGCGCGGCGCTCGGGAGCACGATTCGCGCTCCGTCGAGCACGGCCGTGGCCAGGGCCACCATGCGCGCCCAGGTGCGCTCGCGCGCCTCGTCGATGATCACGGCCCGCCCGACATGCGGTCGATGCGTCACCTGCCACGGGGCGGCACGCTGGCGCAGCTCCATGTCCGCGGCCGAGCGATCGCAGGCGGACCACGCGACGGGCCTGAGCCCGCCGAAGCCCGCACCGCGGAGAAAGCGGCCAAGGAGAGCGCACGCGCCGGCAGGAAGCCTGTCCCCGAGCACGCGAGAGACGGTGGTCGCACAGCGCGCGGCGCCAAGATCCGGCCGCCCACCGAGCGAGCCCGCCTTGTAAAACAGGACGGACGAGGGCAGGCCGTGGCATACCGTCGCGCACTCGGCAGGGAGCGCGTTGGCGAGCCGAGTCGACAGCATGATCGTTTTCAAACCAGAGAGCGCTGCCAGGCCAGCCGTCTTGCCACACCCTGTCGGGCCAGTCAGCACCGCAATGTTCGGCCCTGTCGCCAAGAATCGGGGCGCTCCCCCGCCGCGCGTCGGAGTCACATGGGCAACTTCCTCCGCTGGGAGAGGCGCCTCGCACTGCGCATGGCGAAATGAGGCCGCCCCAGAGCCGCGGCGACGACGTCGGGCCCACTGGTCCGGCAGCATGCGCACGCTGCTGCAGTTGAGGTGCAACTCGAGCGCCGCGGGCTTGAGATCTCGATCGCGATCCGGCCCCGCCGCGCGCCGCCTCACATTTGCGCCGCCGTCGTCGCCCTCGTCCTCGACGAGAACGGCAGGGTGCAGATGCGGCAACCGAGAGGCAAGGGCCAAAATTCCGCGGCGACGTTGGCCGTCGGCGGCGCTCTTGGCGTCGCACGCCCCGAAGGGAGCGCCGAGGGGGGCAACTGAGAGCTCGGGGAGACAGCGATCTGGACGCCAAAGAGGCATCGCCCAGTCCGGATCAACGAGAGCGCTGAAAAGCGCACGGAGTGCGTGACCTGCCATCGCGGCGCGAACCGATGGGGTCTCCTGATCGCGAGCCCCGGCCTGGCCGGACGGGAAGACTGCAGTCATGACTACCAGGGCGCGAAGGTCACTTCCAGGTCGAGTTGCCCAATCGAGCGCGGCGGCAGCGTTAGCCACATCATCCGCGTCTCGAGAGAGGCCAAACTGGTCCATGACGGATGCTTTGGCATTGTGAAGCCCTCCCATCCGGCGAGCGTCGGCAATGGTGCCGCCCCCGGAGCCAAGCGTACCGCATGTGGCGCGTTCGCACTTCTTGCAATACAGGCCCAGGAACTCGCCTTCGGGCTCGCGGCGCACGCAGCGAGCACAGCGAGTCCCATCACGCGAGCGGGTCGCCACGGAGTCCTCGACGGCCTCCAGGAGCCAGGCCTCAGCCTCGTCTGGGACCGCGATGCCCTGCTGCGTGGCTCGCTCCTCCTGCAGCCGAACCGGCGGCTCGGTCAAGGTCGGCGAGCCAACAAAGAGACCGCGGGTCAGCCAGCGCTGCACTGCGACGAGCGCGCGGGCCTGAAGGCCCCGCCAGGGGGCGCCCACAACGCAGGCAACGTGTGCCTCCGTGGCCAACCGCTTGCGAGCACGCTCGCCGCCGGTGCACGAGAGCCAGACGCAGGCGATCCAGAGAAACGCAGCGACCGAGGGGTCGAACGCCTCCGCCAACGCATAGGCCGCGGCGATGAGCCTCGAGAAGTCCTCGCGGACCATCACGCGGCGCACACGACCGTCGCGAGCGTTCGGTCGGCGGAGGACCGCCCAAGGACGGCGCTGATGAAAGAGGATCGCGACCTCGCGCGAGAACGGCGAGTCCGCGAGCTCTGCGCACGCCTGCTCGATGGCACCGAGGTCGCCCTGGCGCTCCCGCTCCTCGCCGACAACAAGAGTGAGCCCAAGGGCGGCCTTCGACGAGACGGCCTGAGACGTCGAAAGTCCGCCGTGCCACGCCGTCGGGCAGCGCCGGCGCCGCGGCATCGCAGGCTGTCCACGCGGGAGCAGACGAGACGTCGAGACGTCGAGGGGGGCGACGTCGAGACGTCCCAGGCACGACGCCCGGGCCAGCGACGGGGGCGCAAACTCCCTGCTCTTTGACGAACCCGCTTCGCACGCAAGGCCACCCCGGCTCGCGGACGGCCGAGATGCGCAGCAGCTCCGGCGGCGGGGCCTCGAGATTGGCGCGCGGCACGGGATGAACATTCCGCGCGGCGAGCTGAGCCTTCCGAGGCCGCGTCACGCCATCGCGTCCGAAAACAACGGGATCGGCATTGTCGAGCGCGCCCTCAGGCGAGGCCATTGTGGCCGGCTCAGTCGGCGGCGGGAGAATCGGCACGCATTTCCGGCTGTGCTGCTGCAGCAAGCGCCGCCGTTTGCGCAACTCGATCCAAGCCTCCTTTCCAGGGGGACCGAGACGGATCAAGTCGTGCACGTAACGAACGACGGCCTCGGGCTGCACAGCAGGCTGCGCCTCTGGGCACGGCTGCCAAAGCTCCAACGGACCGGCGGGAGAGCCGTGGACAACAGGATGCCCGCGAAGGCGAGGCACCCGGCTGCCCACAGCGACCGGACCGTCAGCAGAATCTTGGAACCACACCTTCGGGTGTTGGCTGGGCACGCGCTGCGGGCCAGGCGACGCCTTCAGGATGGCGCCTCGGAGAGAGCTGCTCTTCAGCAGCAGAAGATCTCGAGGCGCCAGCCAGACGGGGGCCGGGATCAGGCGGCGGGGATATTTTTTTACAGCCGCAGGCGGAAGCGCCGGCGGCGAGGGGTCACGGTCGGGCTGCGGCCGCGACGAATTACCCGGGCGCGCGCGGGGGCCGCGGATCAGGCGGCGGAGCAAGCAGCGACCCAGGGCGTCTGAGAGGCCAGGCGGTCGTGCAAGCTGCAACCCAGGGAGTCTGAAGGGTCAGTCACCCAGGAAGCAAAGCGGACGCGGCCAAAATGGCGCGCCGCACATTCCCAGTCATGGGTCCTGACAATCCGACAATCGCATGATGGTGGGAACCAGTCTCCGTGCAAGAAATGTGAGCCCAGGGTGTCTGTCGGGTATGAGCAGACCGAAAGCGTAGCTGACGTCGTTCAGCAAGGAGGGGAATTTCTGACAGCGCCAGCGAACCGTCGCAGCATCAGAAAACGCACCCGACGGCTGTCAGAGTGAGCCAGAGGTCATAGACAACTGGGGCAACCTCGGAACAACTGCTGAGAGATGCGCCTGCACGCAGGAAACCTGAAATATGGTGTGCCGCAGTGCAGAAGTACAAGTGCACCCAACCTGGCGAGGGACACACGGTCAATCGGAAGTGGGCGTGCACCAGCCGACTAAGTGACAACCAGCGCCTCGCAACCCACGCAACGCCAGGTAAGAGGAGAGCGCTCGTAGAAGACGACGCTGCCGTATACCCACGGCAGCAAGTCCTTCAAGGTGACAGAGTCCCAGGGAGTGGTCGCACAACCAGGTTGCGCGTGGGAGCGACGATGGGGAGAAGACAGAGCGCCCGTCACACGCAGGAGCGGTGCATCACTATCCACAGGGTGGCACAACACGGCCAACCGCGGTAAGCAGCAATGAACGGGAGCACGTCAGCGACCCAGTCATAGGACGGCGCAAGCGGACCAGGCGGGCATTCCGCCAACACGGCGGGGCGACCCACGTCAAAGGACTGCCTGAACACCACGTGACCCAAGGACGATGGGTCCGAGCCCAGGGTCGCTCCCAGGAGGGGTAGAGACGCACGGCTGAAGGCCGTAGTAACATGGGAAGCACTGCGCCGGCGCACCGTCCACATAGCGTGCGCCGCAGCGCTGCTCCTCCCCACGCCCCTCCGCGCCGCGCGCGGTGATCTCCCTCGCACGCGTGCGGGCTCCGACCCGCCACCCCCATCACCGCCCGGGCCCGCAGCGGCCGCCGCCTCCTGCGCCCCGGGCGGACGGCCGGACCCGCCTCCGTTGTCCGGCCCGGCCGCCCCGGGCGCCGCGCCCTTCACCGCCTCGGTGACCCGTCTGCCGGCCTTGCCCGGCGCCGGCGCGTCCTCGACCGGCGGCGTCGCCGAGGTGACGGCGCCCTGGCGCCATTTCGGGGCGTCGAGCGAGTCGCGGATCCACTTCCGCACGTCAGCCGACAGCTTGTGTCCGCTCCGCGCCACGTCGCCGGTCGCCCACGCGTGGGCCCCGAACAGCCCCATTGAGCCGTCGTCCTGGAAGCAAAAGATGGGCCCACCCGACCACCCCGAAATCGAGCCGCCGTCGTACTCGAACGCGGCGCCCGCGCCAGTGACGGAACCGATCACATTGACGCGCGTCTCAAACTGACCGGCGTCATTCTGCTCCCTGCCGAGCAGTGCACCGTCGTCCTGCAGTGTCTTCTTTCCGCCCAGCCACTCCTTGACGGTCTCCTCGTCGGCGAACGCGCGCGACGCGAACGGCCGGTCGGTCTCCAACCACAGGGGCGGATCTTC